TATGGGCTATGGCTTGCTCGCAATGAAACAAGGGAAGGAAAAAAGATGACAGCGGCACATGAAATATTAAGCTCGGTACTAGCATATGTGGAGGAATGGAGGTCTTTCCATGGGGAGAAGGTCAAGCCGAGCAAGACGGCGATCACACAGAAATGGAGGCCGCCGGAGGAGGGATGGTTGAAGGTCAATTTTGATGGCGCTACTTATAAGCAAGGGGCGAAATGTGGTACTGGGGCTATGATTAGGGATTCGGGACGAGCGGTTAGAGCTGCAGTCGACGGTGTTTCAGACCCAGAGATTGCTGAAATTTATGCATGCTTGCGAGCGCTTCAGGTGGCGGGCGAGCTGGGCGCAACGAAGCTGGTCCTGGAGACGGATTGTGCCAACCTAGCTAAGATGCTCAAGATGCCGGAAAAGAATCTCTCTTCAAGCGGCCCTCTCGTGGAGGAGATCAAGGTGAGGATGGGGATGTTCCTGGAAGTGCATGTCTCGTGGGTACGACGTAGTGCAAACTCTGCCGCGGATAGGTTAGCTAAGTTAAGCTTAAGTGATGAACTCTGTAATGTGTGGTTTGGTGCCCCCCGGACTGCGTTTTGGGGATTGTTTCGGACGAGATTCCTGCTTTCTATGACTAGTTAATAAAGCGGCAGATGTTAACCCTCAAAAAAAAAAACGGCAACCGCTTCGTCCCCACTTCGACCTTCCGGCGGCGGGCGTCCCAGGACCGCCCAGACTGCCAGGTCCTCGACTCCCGGCACGGCCTCGTCCTCCTCTACGCCGCCGCGTACCTAGTCCCCTTTGATGTCTGCGACCTCGTCGCCAACAAGTGGTGGGAGATCGAGGCCGTCCCCAAGTGCCGCGACACCATGCACTGGCAGGACATCTACGATGGCGTACTGCACTGCAATGCCACGGTGCTCTGCGCCAGAGACCGGTGCGACCACCTCGACTGCCATGGCGGCGGCCCTTTTCTCGTGGCCTTGGTGGGCTCTGCGGAGGAAGGAGGCATTGCCCTCGCCACTGCCTACTCGTCGGAGACTCGTCAGTGGAGCGACAAGATCTCTGTTCGGAGCCCGGGTCTTCAGATCGATGACGGAGGGCACACTGCTGTGGTGGGAACTAAGGTCTATGTCCCCAGCTATGAGTGTGACAGCGTCGTGGAGTACAACATTCGTGAGCAACGGCTATCCGTGATCAATGTGCCAGAGAGCCTGGACGAGGCACACCTTGACCTCATAGGCGCGGAGGACGGCATGCTGCTGTTTGCGTCCGTGCTCAAGTCTAGACTCTATCTATGGTCAATGGAGGCTGGTCCTAGAGGAGCCGCGGGATGGGCGCGACGCAGGGTCGTCGAGCTCGAGCCATTGCTCCCTCCCCGTGCCCTCTTGGACATGTCGGACTCGGACGTGTGGGCGGTTGGTTTCGCGGAAGGGGTTAGCGTCATCTTCCTCAGAACACCGGCTGGGTTGTACGCAGTTGAGCTTAATTCAGGCCGAGTCAACAATGTGGGTAAATTTAGCATTGAAAAGGTCATGCCCTACACGAGCTTCTGCACTCGAGGTACAAGCTAGCCTCTTTCTGTTTTTTCAAACACATTCATCAAGTTATGGACAGTAAATATGCCATCGATCACTATTTCAGTGTTTTTGCTTGTAGCTTAGATCGTTGGATAGTTTAAGTTAAAGAGCGCCCAAATACGTCGATGAGTAGTAGCTTTATTCTTCTCATTTTTCTGAATAGGTCGATGGATGTTTGCATTCAGGTTTTTGCTCGTCTTCTCTGGTTTTCTGTCTGATTATACATACTAGTATGTAGCAAACCATCCTTTGTACTGTTATATTGTTCAGAATTTCAGATGCCGAGTCATGCCGCAGACCTGGCTGATTGTAGGCAACCATGAGTAGCCCATGATTTTTCCTGTTGTGCTGTCTGTGGTGTTGATACAAGCCAGGGTAAAAAAAGAGGGGTAAAAAAAGAGTAGTTGGTGTAGTTGGTGCTCTTAGTTTTGTTGGCCGGTGTAGTATATATGTTTTTCACCGCTGCGTGTTGGTTAACCTAGTCAAAGCTCTGCTAATCAGGCCCTGAGCTGTTTACATTGTTGTGTACCTCCAACGCGGATGCATTCCAATTTCCATCTATATATGGTTTGCTTGATATGGACTGCTAAAGATGAAATGATTTTGAGGTGCCAAAGTGTGCTCCTTTCCCTCTTCTGTTGGTCATATCATCTGATCAAACCTTTGTCTGTTACGGTGCAGCATTCCACCGGGTGCTGGCCTCTGATGAAGCCTCACGCGCGGTTGTCGGTGCCGGTACGACGGTGTGACCATCTGTCTACTTTTTTCCTCCCAGGAAGACTTTGAAGATGAGCTCCGGTGGGTGTCTTCTGCTGCCGGCTGTGTTGGGTAGTTTGGTCATCTGTATGGTATGGTGTTGCCTGAACTCAAGTTAGTTTTGCTTAGTTGTGCGTAGTTTGAGTGTGTGTGTGACCCAGCAGAGCTGGGCATCTATGGTTCTACCTTGCTATTATTGTGGGTGGATTTACAGCTTATTATGACGAGTAAGCTGCTATTCGAAACTAGTTCGCCTCTTTTTTTCTACTCCAGTTATTGATCATGTTCAGATATCAAGACATTGCAAGTTGCAGACATATGCTATTCATTCAAAAGAAGCACGCCTTTTTTTTTGGCAAGCGATGTTATTGCGAGCATGTCAGGATGAGGAGCTGACGCATGACGTGAAGCTTCAAAATTTTGTTTTTGGATTCAGTTTCAATAAGGACACAATGGAATTCATGTACGTATCCTCTGTTTCTATCATTTATAGTAGCACCAAACACATAAATTGAAGTGCTGCTCGTTGACAATCAAAATGTGAATATATGAATTTACAGAGGTCCATCTTCCATCGTAAATTTACATGCAACTTTGAAGACTGATAGTAGCGACAAACTGATAATAATACATGAAAGCAGCCTAACCAGTGATAACAACACACCAACATCACAGAATTGCATTACATCAGTTCTCTGGTGCCTCAAACTCACTAACGGTGTGGATCCCTTAATCTTCATCAAAGGCGCGCCAGATTTGTTGTGTGTGTGTTTGCGACATTGTATCCCTGTTCCATGTACATACCATACATGGCAATTAACCACAATTATTGCAAGATCTCCGTAAACCGCCTGTGGCAGCTGCGCAGTAGTATCAAATATGCCATACCTTTTTGTACTAAGCCAGTAAGAAAACCAAATGATGATCTGAGCCCCACTCTTGTTCCGGAAAGAAATCACAGCCTACAGCAACTAGCTGACTGAGGTACCCATAACCCAAACCAAGTAACTGGTGAGAAAAAAACATAAGTAGTTGTACCTGGTGAAGCACCCGCATGGCCAAGATCTTCCAGTACTTTGGCAGTGGTCTACTGGTCTTAGTTCCTTAAGATTAGGCACGCAGCATTTTCACAACCCACACAGTTACTTTCTAGCAGAATCAAAAGAAGCACAATCAGTCCATCTGATAGAAAGAGCATATCAACACTGACTTCCGTAAGATGATAACTGAATACACTCATTTATATTGGCTAAAAGTCATTCTAAACAAAAGCGAGGATATTATAAAAGGGAATATTGGAAAGCAAAGAAGATGTAATGCCAAAGAAGAAGTGCACAAATTATGTGCACACTGTATTACTTCACACTCACATTCTTAATCACCATTCATCTTAGAAACTATTCATCTTTGTTATCGGATGGTAGAATGGCATTATAAATAGTGAGAAATGGAGTCTTTGCTGTCTCTCATCATGCTACTAAAACAAGAAAATAATTGAGCCAATTTTTAAATGATGACATTTATCACAAAGGCAGAAGGTTGGGAAAGGAAACTTGCAACAAATTCAGTTCTAGTGCGCTGTTTCACTAGGCAACTGCAGAGTCACATTACATTACAGAGAAGGAAACTACGAGACCATGACGAGAGTTGTTTAACTACAAAAGAAGTTACAGCCATGTCTGACGTATTTATGTGCAGAACTGCAGACGAAGTTAGAAATTATCATGTTTAAGCGTGACGGATGAAACTAAGGCACTGAATTTAGCAGCTAGGATAATAGTTAAATTGGCTAAAAGTTTTTAGGCTTGTAGTCTGCAAAGAATGTTCTGAAGATCATGATGGCACCTTTTACATTCAAGACCGGGCCAAACTGCCAACTGATGATATTATAGTATTGCAGCAAACGTCACACAGCAAAATATACTTTAGCAATTTAACCTCTGATGTGTGTAAACAGAAGACAAAGGTGGTGATATTTCAGATGAGGAAGAATGCTTAGTAAATGCTTAACTTGTTGCGATTAAAATTAGAGCAGTTTCAACAGAGCATTAATACTTGATCAAGAAAATTGGATTTTATCAGCATATTCTCTGTACTAACGACTACAGAATCCAGTTGTATTGGTCCAGATAGGGCATATGATCCAATGTCAGAAGTGGAGGTGCATATTCTGGTTATTAAAACAAGTTAAAAGGAACTACAGAGAAATTTGCAGCAAAAGTAAGTCATTAACAAAGTTTCTACTTATCTGTGAACAAGCACTACCAACATACTTTTGTGAGGGCAACTTGGTTTATGGCCAAGAACACACTTTACCTCTCCCTCAAACCAATTCTACCTCAACTGAGTTCCGATTTGAGTCTGTTCCAGATTGCTCTGCTTTTCCGATTCATAGACTGAAGGGCAGATCGTCTGTCCAAGTGACATTCTTGTAAATTCATGATGCATCTTTTGAAGAACATCTGGGAGTTATAACTTTACACCATTGGAAAGGCACCGCGAGGTGTTGTATTTCTGCAGTGATCTAGCAGGATTCATGTCGAAACAATCAGGTTCTCATTTTGAGGATGACATGTGTGCTCTCCTTACAGTACAGCAGATAGATCATCATGTTGGCATATCAATAAAGATTCTGAATCAGTTGAAAGCAGTTCTGGACTTGCTACTCTAGAAACTGTCAATGTAAAAAGATTGTATCCTTGTACAAGAGTGACCCATAGTATGTCGAGAGGTAGTCCCATCTGATCTGACAACCAGAGCTAGTGCCCTGTACCACTGATTCAAGCAATCTTGAGTGTTACACCTTCTGAGAGACTCTAATTTTGCAATCTCAATATTTGAAACTCCTTCTTTCACTAGTATTGGCTTTAGTGCCTTGAAAGTTACATCGTTTGGCGGTGTGCTCGATGCCAACATCTTCTGAAATATTTTCACAGCCTCCTCCATTTTCCCACCAGATACATACATCTGAATCACAGAATTATAACTTAATGCTTGAGTTAGAAGCCCTAAAGCTTGCATTTCCTTGGAGATCCTGTGAGCTTCATCATAGCGAGCAACTTTCTTGTACAAGCACACCATCATCGCATATGAAAATTCATTTGCGCTTCCCGTAATCTTCAAATTCTCAAAAAGCTCACGTGCTTCGTTCACCATACAATGATCACTGTAGAGGCCAATCATGCAGTTGGATGCATAAAGGTTGGTGTCGGTATCTAATGATTTCAGAAGCTTGTACGTTTTTTGTGCCTCTGCCAGATACCCTGCTTTCGTGTAGAGTTTGATCAAAGAATTGTAGATCGAAGCACTCTCACATAAACCAGCCTTTGTCACTAAACCAAAATATGCTGCAGCTTGCTGGACATTTCCAACTTCAGCATATGTATCAATTAAGATAGAGTAAACATATGCATCCGCGTGGACCCCCAAAGTGACCATTTCTCTAAATAGGCATTCAACCATGTGCAAATCCCCATTCTTAGTAAAGCTGCCAATCACCACAGAATATGGAACACAGTCAATCGGCATTTTAGCTGCTTGCATCTTTCTCAAGTAGTAGAGAGCTTTCTCTGGCAGTTTAGCAGTTGACAGGAGTTGAATGAGAGAACTGTAAGTCAAGTAATCAGGTAGTACACCGTACCTCTCCATGCCAGCAGCTATCTCACAGGCCTCATCAAGCTTATCTGCTAACCCATATGCTTTGATCATAACATTGCACACAGAAACGCTAAGCATCTTCCTCTCCAGGCAACACATAAAAGCCTTTTCCGCGAGGTTTATGCACCCTTTCTTCCCAAATGCATCAATATTTGCAGAAAAGCACTCGGAGTCCATCTGATTACAGAACCTCTCAAACCAACACCACGACTGCTCGAGCATCCCAGCATTTACATACATCCTGGTTAGAGCTGACTGCGTGTATTCATCGATCACCAGGCCACTCTCGTCCATTTCTTTAACAAGGGCTTCTGCTTTACTGACCATTCCCCTGGTACAGTACCCGTACAATAGGGTGCGGCAGCTCACAACATCCGGCACCAATTTTTCGGCTTTCATCTTACAGAAGTAGTGCTCTGGAACATCAATTTCATTGCTTTCTCTGTAGAGTGAGATCAGTGTATTGTAAGTCCTGGTGTCAGGAAGGCACTGAAACTCCTCCATCATCCTCACCAAAGAAGCCACCTGCTCCATCCTATGGTGTTTACCCCAGACATGAATCAGTGTGTTGAATGTAATAATGCTCGGCGCGACACCTTCCCTCAACATTTGGTTGAACATGTCTGACACTTTCTCAAGCTGCCCAGCCTTTCCATAAGTATCAATCAAGGTGTTGTAGGTATACAAGCTATAGCAAAGGTGTCCATGCAACCCTGTATTTGATTCAGAAGACCATCTTTGAAAGAACAGCTCTGCCTTCTCATACTCTCCAGCCTTCTTATGGGCATGAAGGACAGTGCTCATGGTCACCTCGTCGGGCACCAAGCCGCGCTTGCACATGTCCCCGAGCCACAGCAACGCCGCCGTCTCTCTGCCCCCTTTGCAGTACACACGCGTACCGTACGTCGCGTTATCCGGCGCCACGCCGCAGGAATGCATCTGGTGCCACAGGCCGGCGACGAGGTCCCATCTCCTGGCGCGCCCGACCGCGCAGAGCACGACATGGTAGTGGATCACATTGACCTCGTGGCCCCTCTGCCCGCGGAGCCAGTCGAAGATCTCGACCGCCCGCCGCCAGTCCTTCTGCTCCTTGAGGATGATGGTCCTCTCCCGGCTGCTCAGTGTGTCCCTCCACGGCCACAGCGCCTCCCCGACGTCCCGGACGCGCTCCAGCGCATACAGCATCGCCGGGATGGACCCGCCGTAGCCGGCCAACCTGCCCCTACCCTTCCCCCTTTGCGGGGCAGCACTCTGTCCGGTGGGGCCGGCGACGGTGGGTGGAACCACCACCGCATTGGGGCAAGTCTCGCCGGCGGCGCCGATACCGCGTTGCTCTGGAGCGCGAGGCCTTTGTCCCTGCGGCTGGCGCCGGGGACCGAGGCCGCGAGGCTCGACTGCGGATTCAGCGGCGGCGGCGGCGGCGCGGGAGCACGGTGGAGGAGCCGGTCGCACGGGCTCAGCATCACGCCCTGCGAAACAGCCGAGCGTGAGTTCCGCCGGTATTTGGGTACAGAAATGGGAACAAAGCGGCGAGCTCATACCTCGAAAATCAATGGCCGGGGACTGCGGGCCGGGCGGGGGAGGCAGCGGGAGCGCGACGAGGGAAAGGGGGAAACGGCGGCGGCGGCGGCGGCGCGGGTGTTTCAGGCGTCGGCGGTGGGCGGTGGGCGGCGCCGAGGTGCGGCACGGCAGGCGGTGGCGGGCTAGAGGAGAGATTTTGGGGCGGCTTTGGGTTGGGTCAGCAGCAGGAGGAAGGAGATGAGTTTGGGGGGATGTGGATGTGGATGTCAAAATCACTATCTCTCACTCTACCTGACCGGAAGTTTGCTCTGATATTTCACCCTAAAATTTCGAAAGTTGCTTTCAAATTTTTGAAAACTCGTCACAATTTTTGTGAGAGGTGGTCTCGTTTCAGAATGTTTATCCTAATCTTTTGACAAATTACTCTGTTTTTTAGGAAAATAAAATATGACAAACTTTATGAAAAAAGTGCCATGGGTTGTGAAAGCGGGAGAGTGAGTGAGAGGTACTATTACACCATCACTTGTCATAGACCTTTCTTTATTTAAGAATACCAAGCTACCACTTTTCTTGACCATTTTATTAAAAGGGGTTTTATCATTTACGCCACTAGTTGTGTCTCACTACTCACTTTTCCCATTTAAAATTACAATTGCTCAAAAATATCATTATTTTGTGAGATGCTTGCTCAAAAATACCGTTAGACACCTCAAAGATTATATCGTCCCATTAGGTGTTTGCTCAAAAATGCCATTGGACAGTGTTACTATCAGGTCCAACCCATTGACCATGTTATATGACCAAAATACCCCTAGACCCACATGTAATTTCTCTCTATCTCGCAATGATAGGTGCCGTCCCCACTTGTCCGGAGTAAGCAAGCATAGAGAAAAATAAGAACTTTGTTGGGGATGGAGTGGGACACACACTTTATCGTAGTGAGATAGAGGGAGAGCTAACATGTTAGTCCGTGGGTATTTTGGTCATGTAACATGGTAAACGGGCTTTGAGATGACAGTAATGGTTCAAATTTACTTATGCGGGAGCCGGCCATTGAGTGGAAAACCGCATCTGTCCGTGGACCGGAGGGGGCGGGCAGTCCGCGGACACTTATGCGAGAGCCATCTATCCAACCGTAGCCGCATACAATTTAAACCCAGTTTCAACTAACTGGACGATTTCATCAAACTTGACGGAATTCATCAAAGTTTGGATAGAAAAACAGCATAAAATATCCATGAATAACATGTAAATATGTCTAGTACAACAATAGTTCAAATTCAACGAGATTTAACCGGATGTTCAACAAGTTCTTCATGGATGAATCATGTTATCCCACACATACTTTCCTAGAGATTCATCCAACAATGTATGTGCGTGAATGATATCCCCTCTGACTAGTAGTACATCACAATAGCACGTGTAGACTACACAACATGTAGAGCAACAATGAGTGAATAAATCAATCAACAACATGTAGAGTAAGAGGGAGCCAAACTTACAAACTCCATGGTCGCCACGCGCAACGGTCACATTGCCTACGGCCGATCAATCGCGCCACAATACTTCATGACAGAGCTTTGGATGTGTACCATCGATACGCTAAGGACTTGACACTGTGTTCATGGGTGATGTGCATGTCATAGGGCGCAATGTGTTTTCACACATGAAACGAACCATGCACGCGCTGCCAAAAGGCCTCCCTTCTGCTCCTGCCTACAAAGTTCGTAGATACGGCCAACCACGCATCACATAAGAACCCATCCTCCTTCGCTGAGTACCCCGCCATCCTTCCTACTGTAAAGAACGACATGAAGTTCGAAAATATGCTCAATGGCATTTGACCGAACACCTGGTGCGGACGAATCCTGGGTGGATGGTCGTGGGTGGGGGTTGTGGACGTCCGACAATGCCTGGGCGGCAGCGGGAGAGTACAGCGGCAGTGTCAGACGAGGAGGGTGCATATGCAAACCAAGGGGGAGCAGGGGTGGAGTGGAAGAGAATAGGACCGTGAGGAAGGATTTGAGTAGGCAGGGGGTGTGGGAGTCCTATGTGGAGGTGGTCCAGACTCTCGCAAAACCCCCCTAATTTGCAGGGAAAAGGACGCCCGGACCTCTCCGCGGAGCGATAAGGTATCGTGTTGGATGGCAGAGTGGGTCCGGACAGCTCGGTCCGAATGATCGCGGATTGTTTGAGGGTTAGAGAAACTCTAGCAGACCCCACATCTTGCCGAATTATAAACTGTGTTTGTAGGCCGCACGGGGGCGCTTATGCAGGCTAAAAAATGCGGCGGCAGAACAGAAACTGCAAACAAACCCGTAATATTTAAAAAAAGTTGTTTCGCACAAGAAATTTAAGCAGTAGCTCGCATAGATGGTTCTTCTTCGCATAATAAGTCCGTACACTCCACATACATACATATTAAAGGTCCACTACTACGAAAAGGGCTATAGATGAAATTGACACTAATGACGCACCAGATATGTGGTACGCCACTACTATATACTAATGGCGCACCATGTGTCGGTGCGCCATTACTATGGAAGACACTAATGGCGCACCAGACACACGGTGCGCCACTAGTAACAATTTTTTTCATTTTTCCAAACATACTAATGGCGCATCCAGGCAAAGTGCGTCATTACTAGTTCTAACTAGTAATGGCGCACCAGCCACACAGTGCGCCACTATTGTATTTTTTTATTTTTTTTTTGCAAAACTACTAATGGCGCACTTTGCCGCGGTGTATATATATATATATATATATATATATATATATATATATATATATATATATATATATATATTGCAAAACTACTAATGACACATGGCCAGCAGGTGCGCCATTAGTATGTTGGGTTACTAATGGCGCATGGGTGGGTGGTGCGTCATTAGTAACATGGGACCAGCTAGATACTTTGGACAGCCACACCTACACACTCACTTTCCCCACTTCATTCCCTCCACTTCCTTCTCCAAGCTTGTCGGCTGCCTCCTCCTCCTCACCTCATTTGCACCATAGATTCATCAAAATTAAGTGGTTAAATTACCTTTTTTTTGATAGGTAAGTAAGGGGAAATCTATCTTCATGATGTAGATCTACTTTTTTTCTCCCTAGCTCGCTCCAACAACGTGCACATGCACTTTTTATGGCCTAGCTAGATCTATGCATGTTTGTGGTGTTGCATGTGTTTGTGGTGTTGCATATATGTTTGTGTTTGCAGGTACCGGTATTTGAAATGCGATAGTTGCCAATATTTTGCCGGAATGTTGATTCATTTCCGTTTCGGTGAGAATTTTGGCACTATGCATTCTTTTTGGTCCTATTTTTAGGGAAAGTCATGCCAAATTTTTTCTTGGTTCTAAAATATCGTTTTGCTCTACCCCGCAGGCGACCATGGTCCGCACGATGACCGAAGGCATCGTGAATAGGTTTTTGAGCTCCGCGAAGGCCGAGATGCTTCAAAAGAACGAGACGGAGATAAGATGTCCGTGTCGAAGATGCAAGCTGAAGAGCCTTATTGCGGACCCGGATTCCAGGCAGGTGCGGGACTGGGCAAGAAATGAGGAAGGGCAGCAAGACAACCATCGCGGCTCAGGCGGGCGAGAAGACGAAGAATCTCCAGGACATGATCACGGCGGTGATGTTGTACACAGTCATCATGTAGAAGATGCCGTACATGATGATGAGGAAGATGCCGGAGCAGACGAAGGGCATGATCATGAAGATAAAGATGCCGGCAGAGCAGACGATGATGGACCATCGATGGGCTGGGTGCAGGACCCTCATATTCAAGAGCTGCTTCTCAAGCAGACGGATAACGCAAGAGCTCCCGCCCGAGAAAAAGCCAAGCTGGATCAACTGGAGATAGACGCGGTTACTCCATTGTATGAAGGATGCAAGCCCGAGGATACCCGCCTGAAAGTAACGCTCATGGCTCTGGAGATGAAGGTAAAACACAAAATGACCGATGCATGCTTCGACGAGAACATGTCATTCTGGCACGAACGTCTTCCCAAGGGGAACAAGTGCCCTACCAGTTTCGAGGAGGCGAAGAAAATCGTGTGTCCTCTGGATTTACCGCACGTGAAATACCATGTGTGCATGAACAATTGCATCATTTATCGGGATGAGCACGCGGAGTCTACCATATGTCCGGTGTGCGGCGTCACTCGATACAAGAAGAGGAAGAAAGCTCCTCGAAAAGTGGTGTGGTACTTTCCGATCACTCCTCGTCTACAGCGGTATTTCGCGGACCCTAAGGTAGCAAAGCTCCTGTGTTGGCACGCGGATAGGGAGGAGAAGAAGCGAGAAGACGACGCAAATGATCTGGAGATAAATAAAAAAGATAAGATGCTGAGTCACCCTAAGGATGGGAGCCAGGGGCAAACGTTGAACTTCGAACACCCAGAATTTGGGAAGGATCCAAGGAACATCGTGCTGGGCGCGAGCACCGATGGAGTCAATCTGTTTGGCAGCCAGAGAAGCACACATAGCACCTGTCCTGTGTTTGTGTGGATGTACAACCTTCCCCCCTGGTTGTGCATGAAGAGGAAGTACATTCACATGAGTATGCTAATTGAAGGGCCGAAACAACCAGGAAACGACATCAATCTGTATCTGGGGCTGCTGAAAGATGAGCTAGACATGCTGTGGAAAACGCCAGCCAATACGTGGGACGCCGCAGAGAAAGAATATTTCCCTATGAGAGCCGCACTGCTCACGACGGTGCATGACTATCTCGGTTACGGATATCTCGCGGGGCAGGTGGTCCATGGATTTTCTGGATGCATCAGGTGCATGGATGACACAACGTATCGCCAGCTAGATAGAGATCTCGGGTCTTTGAAAACCGTGTTCATGGGACATCGAAGGTGGCTTCGCGACGATGACCCATGGAGGAAACACAAGGATCTGTTCGATGGTGAAACCGAACCCCGAAGACGCCCGCGTACGAGGAGCGGCGAGGAAATAGACGAGCTGTTGAAAAATTAGAAAGATTGCCCACTGTCGGGAA